CGCCCCCGCCTGCCCCTGTAGATTCGGGTTAAAGAAAAATCCCTCCAAGTCCCCCCGGAAAAAAAAAAAAAAAAAAAAAAAAAAAAAAAAGCAACGAGGAAGCGACCGAAGGAACACTTTAGCGGCTGACTGTCGACATGTCGTTCACGTCCAGCCGCCCTCTTCTCCCTCTCTCCTCTCCTGTAGCGGCCGAGGCGGATGAGGAGGATGAGGGAGGGTTGGTGGAGGGCGGTGCGGGGGGGGGGACGTGATAAGACTGCAATGAGGTAGAGGATGAAAACCGAGCGAAGGAGAAAGCGAGAGAGAGAGAGAGAGGACTTTAAATGAATAAATAAATAAATAAGTCGTTTGGCTTTAGGATGCAGGGTCCGCTTCTCCACGGAGCAGCCCGTGGGAGCTGCGGCAGTGCGCGAGCCAGCGAGTGAGTGGACCCGGCGGTCGCTCGTGCGCTGCACGGAGTTGGAGGCTGCGTAACGATGGAGAAGCCTCTCTTCATCTCTAACACAACTGGGTAATTCAGAGAGGAGAGGAGAAGAGAGAGAGAGAGAGAGAGAGAGAGAGAGAGAGAGAGAGACGCGGAAGGGAATTAATCATGCAATATAAGACGGCGCGCAAAGTGGCCCTGTTTTTAGTTCATAAACAGATTACAGAGGAGACATCAGAGTCACACAGCCAGTGGGGCCCATATAAACTTCCCCCTCACTTTACCCGAGTGAGCGGCGGGCTAAAAAAAAAAAAATAATTATAATACTTTTCCGCTATACCGACGATAATTTATAATCTCATTAGTTTATTCATTTTTCCTCTTGCCCTTAAGCACCTATACGGATTTCGCTTTAAAAAGGGAAAGAAATAACGGTGTGCGTTACCATGGTGATTTGGTGCCAGCTGTCTTTGGCTGCGGAGGAGACTGTGATGACTTTTGAAGAGGAACGAGTGTTTTTACACTACAGCATGGCCCGACAGTCTGCGCGAACTTCCTCCAAGCGAAGAAGAAGAGACAGCAACAGATGCAGCGCCGCTCACTCAGAGGCGACCCACGGCCACGATGAATTTGTTTGGGGTCGTAAACTGAATTCGATCTGGGGGGCAGTCCACTCAACACTGCTCTACTGGAAATTAATTTGTGTCGGTCATGTTTCAATGTTTGCGGATTAAACTGAGGCATCTGAACGAATTCGAATATTATTGTAAAATTAAGAAACACTGAGTTAGACTCAGTCAAAGTCCAGACCTAAATCTAAGAATCTTCGTCAAATCATGGAAATTTTTGATTTTTGTTTCTCAAAAGAAGTAAAGGTATGTAGGCACAATTGTATTGTTATAGCATCTTTCACAGATCACAAACGGCTTCTCAAAG